CACATTCTAGTTACCATTAGTCCAGTTGTCCCACATTCTAGCCACCATTAGTCAAGTTGTCCCACATTTCAGTCACCATTAATCCAGTTGTCCAACATTCAAGCCACCATTAGTCTAGTACGTTGTCCCACATTCCAGTCACCATAAGACCAGTTGTCCCACATTCGAGCCACCAGTAGACCAGTTGTCCTACATTCCAGCCACCATTAGTCCAGCTGCCCCAAATTCCAGCCACCAGTAGACCAGTTGTCCTACATTCCAGCCACAATTAGTCCAGTTGCCCCACATTCCAGCCACCAGTAGACCAGTTGTCCTACATTCCAGCCACAATTAGACCAGTTGTCCCACATTCCAGTCACCATAAGACCAGTTTACTTACTTTCCAGCCACCAGTAGACCAGTTGTCCTACATTCCAGCCACCATTAGTCCAGTTGTCCCACATTCTATCCACCATTAGTCCAGTTGTCTCACATTCCAGCCACCAGTAGACCAGTTGTCCTACATTCGAACCACAATTACTCCAGTTGTCTCGAATTCCAGTCATTTCTATATAAAAGTGTTGCAGTAATCTGGATGTCTCACACTAAAGACTGTAGATCATAGATACATGAGTTCAGTTCTAGTGGTTTAATAACACATTGAGTTTGCTTTAACAAAATTATTACCCACGCAGACTTTTGTGAGAATGAATTATTAATCACACTAGAATGTTGACCGATTTTTCTCTGATGATCATAATAACAAAAGAAAATCACTAGAATGTTGAATAGATTCTCTCCAGTGATTATGATGATGTACAATCAGGGTAGAATGTTGACTGGTTGTTTATTGTGGTCAGTTTTGTTGGTCTGGTTCTGTGTTGTCGTGGTAACTATACCTACTAGTTATGTCACAGGAATCACACACTGCTGTACTGTAGTAGTTTAACATTCAACCCACTAAACACTGCCCACAGGACATCCTCCCTGTCTACACCTACATCACATGTCCAGTATGTGCCCGTGTGTATGATCCTGAGGAACTCACCACGTCCACTGATGAGTAGGACTCTGTTGTTGTTACCGTCCCCTATGATAATGTTCCCCACACTGTCATACACCACACCACAGGGGTGAAATGGTGCAGCTCCTTTATGTGATGATTGTTTGTATGTACTGGGGATGTCACCTCTATATACAAACAGTTCCTTGAAATCAGTGTCCATGACAGTAACATGTGGTATCCCATCACCACCATCACTGTTATTATTCCTATCAACCACTGCGACATTGTGAGTGACAGGACACTCTGAGATCCTATGTGGTGACCACACTAATGGCTTCCCAGTTCCTGTAGCACTTGTAGTGAGTACCATTTGACCTTGTGTGGTATATTTGGAGATATTTTTGGTCATCCCCACAATGACGTGGTTACTAGCAGTAACACAGATGTACATGGGTCTCTCCTTGGTGCTGAATCTGTTTGTTAGTCGTCCTGATACCAGCTCCATGATGTTGTTTTCTGTATCACAGACCCACAGTGTGTGTGTTGTTGGTGACAGACTTATGTTGTTGATGTTAACTTTGTGTTTGACCTTCTGTATTACTTTCCCCTTCCTGTCCAGGAGAGTTAATGTGTTACTGCTGTAACTGTAACTGTCACTGTCATTGGTCCACACCTGACCATCAGTGGTGGGGCATATAGACTCAATACCAACAGGAGACACCCACTCCTCCAGCACTTTGGTCTGTGGCAGTAGTTTGTACATAGTCACTGCCTTCTTATCTTTCGGTTCTGACTGTTTTGATGTAGAGGATGGATCCTTACCACCAGATGTCCTGACTGACCCATCCTGGTCAGTTGAAGCTTGACCTTGATCTAAGGTGGCAGTTTCCCCTAAGGCCAGTTCTAGGTGATTTTGAGGGGTTTTGTTTGGAGTGAAACTGGCAGTACCCAGGACAGGTGTTACAGGGAGACTTATTTGGGAATTAATTTCACATCCTGTGTCGTAGATTTCTATGTGAGAACCATGCTGAAGTGCTGCTTTGCATTCTCGAATTTGTTGTCTGAGTTGCTTGTCGTACATTTCAAGGTCCTGTTTGTATTTCTGTATCAGCTTGGTATTATCCTCCTCCATTTTGTGATAAACAGAGAGTGTCTGTGTTGTAAGCAAGTCGAGGTCTTTCTTTAATTTTTCTGTTTGCATTTTCAACTTGTGCGAAAGTTTCTCAAAATTGCTGGTATTGTCTTTAAGAAGTGTATCAGTAGATGTGATGTATTTTCTAACCTGTACTAGGTGAATTTGTTCAGTTCTGTCAATAAAGTTATGAATGTCTTGTTTCTTTGTAGGAGTAATATCACTGAGTTCACACATATCATGACCTTTGTGAGATGTTGACAAACACTTAAGACATACAAGTGTATCACATTTCTCACAGTAAAGTTCCAGATGTCTCCCCTTGTGTTCAGTACAGGTATGGAGAGGGATTTGACCTATGGGTGTTGCCATGTTGATGAGAAAGTTGAGGAAGAGAAATGGAAGTCTATAAATAGACCCAAACAAATTATCTATTATAACTGCTATTGAATAAAAGTCACAAAATAGACTTTATTTTATGTCTCTAAATCTTGACTTTGCACCGAGCTCCAATCCAGGTACATGTGTTCATAAAACATAATTGTAAAGACACTAAAGCATTATAGCTACCTGATGATCATTTCCATTCCAAGCCTCACAACGTAAACGTCAAGGAAACGGGTACATATTGTTGTTGTCTATATGAATGAAATTCCATCTGGTTGTTTTGATAAATCACTTGTTTTCTGGCTGACAGACCAACGAGACATTTCTGGTTAATGTCTGTTTCTCATTGTTAATACAACGTCCAAACTGAACACACCTTGCTGGCCACCATTTATAGATAATTCTGTTCAGACTTGTAACTATACAGACAATTCTACTTCCCTGTTTGATGTGGTTGTCAACATACACACAGTGACAACAGAGGGATCGATTGTGTAGTAGTAGGTCAATGTAGGTCCTTGTCCAGGTAAACTTACATTATCTTACTGCATTCATAAATCACATGTTGTCTGGCTCAGAATTCAGTTTTGTTCTTTAGAAACATTTCTGGTTAATGTTTGTTCCTCATTGTTTATACAAGTCCAAACTCGATATGCTCCTTGGCCACCATTTAAAGATCTACCTGTGCAGACGTGTAACTATTCGGAAAATATTACTTCCTTGTTGTGCGAGGTGCCGATTGGCCTACAGAGAACTCATTAGGGTAGATTGTAGAGTAGGTCAATGTAGGTCATGTTTACAGACTGTGGTATTTACATACCTACAGTTTACCTGGAGTGTAGTGATAGTTACATGTATATGTGTATTAGGTAACAAGACAAACATATAGTGTACGTATATATATGATTGTGTTAATTGTTTATTACCTAAATTTAAATGGATAAAATGATCATGATTTTATTTAAATATTATGTGAAATTGTTGTATTTTGTCGGCGTTATTTTTTAGGTCACCTGGGCAAGTAAGCTTATGTCATGGTGTGGCGTCCGTTGTCCGTCAACTTTTCCTTTAAACAACTTCTTCTGAAGAACGGAAAGGCCTAGAGTCATGATATTTAGCTGAAAGCTTCATTTGAAAGAGCCTGACAAAGTTTGAGAACGAAAATGACCTTGACCTTCTTTAAAGGTCACAGGGGTCAATTATGTCAAACACTTCAACTGACTTCTGAAGGAGAACTGAACGGTATATAATCTTCATATTTGGCTGGTAGCTTCCTGGGATAGAGCCCCCCACCCCCACCCCACCCATACATTTATATCTGGAATAGCCCTTATCTGGAATCACTCAAGTCATAAGGATATTTGTCAATAAGGTGAACTATAGGATGTACTTTGCATAAACGTTTGTCTTAAATTTCGATCTTTTGTTGAATTAGCGGTTGTATTGGCGGAATGTATCCTTCCATAAATAAAAAGAAAATTACACTGTCATAAAACGTATAGGTATATACTGTCTTGATGTAACTTGAAGTATATTTGCAACACCCACGGAACATGTGCATTGTACTGTAATTTAATTATTGTGACCTTGACCTCTAGGTCATATGTCATATAATTGTAAATTTTCAATGAAAAAGATGTCTACCTGCATCACCAACCCCAACAGAAAGTGTACATAACACTGTAATTAGGTCACTGTGACCTGAACCCTTAGGTAAGTAATCAGCTAAGACAAAAGATTCTTCAGACTATTGAAGATATCTTTGAAATTGGAAGCATACCTGCATCATCCACAGAAGGTGTGGTGTGCAATTTAACTAGGTCATGGTGACCTTCACATCTCTGTCAAAGGTCAAATAAATGCAAATGTTTGGGAAATCTTGTCTGGGCTGTAAGTTTTAAACTGTTGAAGATATCTCGATAAAGCTTTTTAAGTGTGCCTGCATCACCCACTGAGGGTGTGCAGTATACCATATTTAGTTCAGCTCTTGGTCAAGTTTAAATTGGTTTGGTTAGTGCTTTACGTCCTTTGAACAGCTATGGTCATTTACGGACGAGCCAGCTTAAAAAAGCTCAAAGCTAACAAACGTGACTAATTAGGGGAGGCAAACCATCAATCAAGTTTTTTTGCTGTGATTTTTTTTTGTTCACACAAGCAATTCTCTACCTGTGGACCTAAATCTACAGCAAGCACTCAATAAAAAAACTATAGAGTACTTCTTACATAGAATATAACAGTTGATATCATACTTATATTCCATTATCTTGTTTGTATGGGGTGAAATCTCCTTGCAACAGCTAAGAATAAATGAAGACGGGATATATTCCCTCATTTTCATGACAACTAAAATTTAAATTAGTACAGGTAAGATAGTAATGACACTAGGTCAATACTAGCAAACTAATAACAGTCTTATTTATCATAAGCATTTGTGTTAAGAAATTTATTTTTTGAATAAATATAGCAGTTTTTCACCATCTGATGCTTTTGTTTCAGTTTACCTGAAGTGTATGGAGCAGGAGGATGCAGCGATGCTGGGTCGCTATAACAGTCTGATTCAGACGATGACCAACTCTTCCTCCATTACCGTACTGGTGGGTGATGATCCCCCAGACGGCTGCTGTGTACAAACGGTCTCTGTGAAGTGTGAAAGTCACCTGATGCTCAAGGTGAGGATGGCCTGTAGAATAATTTGTCCATTATACACTGTATGATAGAATATATATTATTGTAATTTGGTCTTTGATACATTACATTGTAATTGGTCTTGGATACATTACATTGTAATTAGTCTTGGATACATAACATTGTAATTTGTTTTTGATACATTGCATTGTAATTAGTCTTGGATACATTACATTGTAATTAGTCTTGGATACATTACATTTTAATTTGTCTTGGATACATTACATTGTAATTAGTCTTGGATACATTACATTGTAATTTGTTTTTGATACATTACATTGTAATATTCTACCAGGAATTAAATTCAAGTCATACAGTGTATTACCTTATACAAATTTATCAATTTTCAGCCTGTATAAGAGCTTTTTTTTTTTTTCTTTTTTTTTGGTCCCTGCATTAAACTTTCATCTTGATATTGGGATGCCAATTTTATAGGACACCAGTATTAAATTCACTTTCTTTTGTTCTTTGGCGAAAAGGGCTTCAATAAAATAGGGATGGAAATGCATGGTTTTACAGTATATTTCTGTGTACATTGTATTGAGATTTATAAGCACACATTATTTCGTGTTTTTATATGTGCATAGGTTTAATATGGTAAATTTGTTTTAAGTCTTTCAGAGAAGAAGTTTTTTCTTGAGGATTCGTAAGATGAAAGTTATTTTGTTGTCATTTATTTCACCTCCTCAGGGACTCATTGACCCCAGTAAGGAGCGCAGCAAGTTGGACGGAAAGAAGGTCAAGCTCAGCTCACAGCTTCAGAAGTTGACAGAGGCTTCCCAAAAGTCAGACTACACTAGCAAAGTCCCACAGACAATCAGGGACCAGAACTCAGAAAAGGTAAAGGGAGGCAATTCTAGGGTTCTCATTTCTAATAAAGCAATGAAAAATGAAACAGACAGGAGAGGTGTGTAGTGGAAATTACTTCAGTTTCTTTTGTAATGCGGTAAAAAAATATGTAAATATATGGATAGCCGACAAAGGGCCTCTTGTTTAATATGCAAGCCCACGTGACTCTGAAATGTTCAGGGGGTCAAACTTTATACTAACAACAGCTTAGGAGGGAATAGTACAATTAAAATACTTACATGTATTTTTAGGTATCTCTGTCAAATTTTGAAAAGTGCAATTAGATTTGTTACAGAATATCACCAATTGTCTCGGACATGTCTGAAACTTAACACCCCCTCCTCTCTCGATCCCTGTAAACTGCTAACACCGCCTCCCCTCTCGATCCCTGTAAACTGCTAACCCCCCCTCCTCTCTCGATCCCTTTAAACTGCTAACACCCCCTCCTCTCTCGATCCCGGTAAACTGCTAACACCCCCTCCCCTCTCGATCCCCGTTAACTGCTAACACCCCCTCCTCTCTCGATCCCGGTAAACTGCTAACACCCCCTCCCCTCTCGATCCCCGTTAACTGCTAACACCCCCTCCTCTCTCGATCCCGGTTAACTGCTAACACCCCCTCCTCTCTCGATCCCCGTAAACTGCTAACACCCCCTCCTCTCTCGATCCCGGTAAACTGCTAACACCCCCTCCCCTCTCGATCCCTGTAAACTGCTAACCCCCCCTCCTCTCTCGATCCCTTTAAACTGCTAACACCCCCTCCTCTCTCGATCCCTGGAAACTGCTAACACCGCCTCCCCTCTCGATCCCGGTAAACTGCTAACACCCCCTCCCCTCTCGATCCCTGTAAACTGCTAACCCCCCCTCCTCTCTCGATCCCTTTAAACTGCTAACACCCCCTCCTCTCTCGATCCCTGGAAACTGCTAACACCGCCTCCCCTCTCGATACCTGTAAACTGCTAACACCGCCTCCCCTCTCGATCCCTGTAAACTGCTAACACCCACTCCTCTCTCGATCCCTGTAAACTGCTAACCCCGCCTCCCCTCTCGATCCCTGTAAACTGCTAACACCGCCTCCCCTCTCGATCCCTGTAAACTGCTAACCCCCCCTCCCCTCTCGATCCCTGTAAACTGCTAACCCCCCCTCCTCTCTCGATCCCTTTAAACTGCTAACACCCCCTCCTCTCTCGATCCCTGTAAACTACTAACACCGCCTCCTCTCTCGATCCCTGTAAACTTCTAACACCCCCTCCCCTCTCGATCCCTGTAAACTGCTAACACCACCTCCCCTCTCGATCCCTGTAAACTGCTAACCCCCCCTCCTCTCTCGATCCCTTTAAACTGCTAACACCCCCTCCTCTCTCGATCCCTGTAAACTGGTAACACCCCCTCCTCTCTCGATCCCGGTTAACTGCTAACACCCCCTCCTCTCTCGATCCCTGTAAACTGCTAACACCGCCTCCCCTCTCGATCCCTGTAAACTGCTAGTATTTCTTAAACAAAAAGAAATCATGTATTTTTATGCCTGTGAAAAATGCATTATAATATGCTGTCAGCTTGTTCATTCATCTGTTAATTAAATTATCAACTAGCTCCACAGTTTTTGATAATGTGGCGTATGTTTTGGGAATCATATGAAGAAGTGCATATGTCGTAAACTGGGGATGCTGCATTAGTGTTTTTCTAGAGCTAAGGCTATTTATGACTTAAATTTGTCCACCAGTAACTTGAAGGGCTGACATTATGACCATAACTGACAAATATTTGCCTTTCCGAATTACACTTGTTTCACCAATATATTGCGGGCATGTAATGCGCCACTGTGTTGTCCTCTTGTTTACCTTTTTTATTTCATATGAAAATTCCTCTAATCAATGTCAGGAACCATCAATGGACGTACAGCTGGCACACAACAAAATGGCCCACATTACCTTGTCATTCTTTACACTACCACATTTACCTCGATTTTTTTTTATTATACTAGGTATTAGGTCTACGTTGTATCTTTGATTAATTCAGAAACAATGAAAAAAAACCTTGAATATCCCGATTGTGAGGTATCTATATTGGTGGGTTTCTGGGAAAAAAGGAAGTACAATGTACTAACTCAGGCTTCCATTATGGGAACCTGTCTTCCTGGAAACAATCAAATTGAAAAATTTTGCAGTTAGTAATTCCATGCCGCTTTCATTTATCGTGATCCAAATGGTTGAATCAGTTTGACCAGAGTTGTTCGTTTGTGAAATAAGGTAAAGAAATCTGAATTTTTTTTCAGGCGAGCCTTGTGCAATGCATAACCCGGCCTTAACAGGTCGACCAGGATTTATACTAAAAAAGTACATTTATAAACAGAAGGACCGGTTGTTACACATCAAGAACAGGCCCCATATCATGTCTTTTGCAAAAGCATGATCAAGTTTGGTATATATAGTACTGCAGCCTTAAGCAACATAGACAAGGCGTTTACAGTTTTATTTAGAGTCTAATACAAGCAAACATCTGTCTGGTGAATTGCTACCATTCCATGCTAGGAATAAAGACCATAATCATAAAAGATTACCAGTGTACACATTGTGTAATACATATAATAGGTAACTGTGACTTTGTGGTCAGGTACAGAGAAAAGCCAGTGGTTGGCTATTGATAATTTGATACTTAATTAACACCTGGCCTTACCTGTCGATGATCACTGTTTGTCACCGGTACCTGTATTACAAAACTTACCTGTCACACCTGCTGATTAGGCAGGTGAACAAGGGCTACCCTTGCGAATGGGTGTTTCACACTTTTAGACATTACATGGATTTTAGTAGGTGACCAAGAAATGACCCACGCTTGTAGACATAACGTGGCGTTTAGTGGGTGGTCCTGAAATTGTCCAAAATTGTTAACATTACAGGGTGTTTTTGTGGGCCTTGACCATGTGGTAGATTTAAAGCCTCTAATTGGCCAAACATTATTTTATCCTCAACAAATAAATTATATAATTCTGAATGGTCCACACTTTTTTTGTTTTGGATGGGACGATCTGAATGGCCCACATTTGTAGAGAGGCCCAATAGACTTGTCGACGTCGTGTATTTTTATTTGTATTTTGTTTTCATTTGAATATCTATAATTAATTTAAAATGTATACATTGACGTATTATGCACTTTTTAGCTCACCATGGTCCTTCGGTACCGCAACGTCCGTCGTACATCGTCCGTTCGTCCGTCCGTCCGTCAACTTTTCCTTTAGAACGCTACTAGTCCTGAACGGCCAAGTAGATTTTGAATGAATTTAGTCTGGAGCATCCTTAGGCCAATGGGACTCAATTTTGTATAAATGGTGGGTGTGGCGCCCCTTGGGGCAGATGGGCGGCGCCGAATAGGGAAATAAGTAAAACCTTCAAAATCCATCCCCTACCGTAGGGATTAAGGGATTTTATCTTAATTTAGTCTGGAGCATCCTTGGGCCGAAAGGACTCAATTTTGTATAAATGGTGGGTGTGGCCCCCCTTGGGGCAGATGGGCGGGGCCGACTAGGGGAAATAAGTAAAACCTTCAAAATCCATCACCTACCGTAGGGATTAAGGGATTTTATCTTAATTTAGTCTGGAGCATCCTTGGGCCAAAAGGACTCAATTTTGTATAAATGGTGGGTGTGCCCCCCCTTGGGGCAGAGGGCCGGGGCCGAATAGGGGAAATAGAGGTAAAACCTTCAAAATCCTTCTTCTACCGTAGGGATTAAGGGATTTTATCCTAACTTAATCTGGAGCATCCTTGGGCCAAGAGGACTCAATTTTGTATAAATGGTGGGTGTGGCGCCCCTTGGGGCAGATGGGCGGGGCCGAATAGGGGAAATAAGTAAAACCTTCAAAATCCATCCCCTACCGTAGGGATTAAGGGATTTTATCCTAATTTAGTCTGGAGCATTCTTGGGCCGAAGGGACTCAATTTTGTATAAATGGTGGGTGTGGCCCCCCTTGGGGCAGAGGGCCGGGGTCGAATAGGGGAAATAGAGGTAAAACCTTCAAAATCCTTCTCCTACCCTAGGGATTAAGGAATTTTATCCTTATTAAGTCTGGAGCATCCTTGGGCCAAGGGGACTCAGTTTTGTATAAACCGTGGGTTTGGCCCCCAAGGGCCTGAGGGGCTGGGCCCAATAGGGGAACATAGCAAATTATTCCTTAAAATCCTTCTACTTCTGTAGGAATGACAGGATTTGGTCCATATTTGGTGTTGAGCATCCTTGGGTTAAGGGAAACCAATTTTGTATAAACGGTGGGTCTGGCCCCCTTGGGGGCTGAGGGGCGGGGCCCTATATAGGAAATATAGCAAATTCTTTAAAATCCTTCTTCTTCTGTAGGAATGACAGGATTTACTCCATATTTAGTCTGAAGCATCCTTGGGTAAAAGTGTACCAATTTTGTATAAACCATGGGTCTGAGCCCCCAGGGGCCTGAGGGGCGGGGCCCAACAGGGGAAACGGAGCAAATTTTTCTTTAAAATCCTTCTTCTTCTGTAGGAATGAAAGGAGTTGGTCCATATTTGGTGTGGAGCATCCTTGGGTAAAGGGAAACCAATTTTGTATAAACGATGGATGTGCCCCACCCTGGTGCCTGAGGGGCGGGGCCCAATAGGGGAAATAGAAGTAAAACCTTTAAAATCCTTCTTCTACCAAGGGATTAAGGGATTATATCCTAATTTAGTCTGGAGCATCCTTGGGCCAAGGGGACTCAATTTGTATATACAGTGGGTGTGGTCTCCCAGGGGGCAGAAGGGCGGGGCCCAATAGGAAATAGAGGTAAAACCTTTAAAATCCTTCTTCGACCATCAGGATTAAGTCTGGAGCATCCTTAGGCCAAGGGGTCTCAATTTTGTATAAACGGAGGGTATGACCCCCTAGGGGCATAGGGATGGGGCTCTGTTTGAAGTTTGTTATATCTCATGTACTGGATGGTTCTTTCTGAAATTTCATATGTACTTACAGCACCTACCATGGAGTGCTATATCTTTACTTCATACCAATAATTTTAAACATATTCTGGTGAGCGATACAGGCCCTCTGGGCCTCTTGTTTGTATTATGTTTGCATGTAAGACTATATATATTTATCACAGTCATGATGTACTGTGTTATCCAGTGAATATACCCATGTCATATATTTTGGCGTATTAACCCATGTAATATGACCTATCAGCCATGTGATTGGTTGTACAAAAAAATTGTCGTTTTACACAAATAAATGCCACAAATATGCAGTGTATTTCTTGGTTACATTTCTATGTACAAAGGAGTAAAACTTTACACATGTTGGAAAAAATGGGCCGACATTATGAATTAACTATTTTTTACAATTTAAACAGTATCAGTATGTATTAAGTCTCACTATCAATTGAATCAAAATTAAAAAAAAAAAATGATTTGAATTAAAGATCCCCGTCTCACTGCACTGTAGTTGTTCACACATATACAGTAACCTCCCCTTAACTTCTGTTTAGATATAACTGTAGCACAGTTGGGCCCGGTCACTTCTGTTGACTAGGTAGCTTAGTCTGCGATAGTATAACAGTCTGTTAGTGTGATAGTATAACAGTCTGTTAGTGTGATAGTATAACAGTGTCTTAGTGTGATAGTATAACAGTCTGTTAGTGTGATAGTATAACAGTCGGTTAGTGTGATAGTATAACAGTCTGTTATTGTGATAGTATAACAGTCGGTTAGTGTGATAGTATAACAGTCTGTTTGTGTGATAGTATAACAGTCGGTTAGAGTGATCGTATAACAGTCGGCTAGTGTGATAGTATAACAGTCGGTTAGTGTGATAGTATAACAGTCTGAAGTCAAGGGTTCAAATCCTGGTCTAGCCCTGCTAAATTTTCTTACAATCAGAACGCTATTTTGGAGTATATTTCGTTGATTTCAACTTCATTATTTTTTCATTAAAATCCCACGAGGTATAGTTCTATTTTCAGAAATGATTTATCAAGGCTATATTCCGTCTTTTCGTATTGCAGAGTTATCTGCTGTTGTGAGCAGGTATTGATTGTTACGTCATTGGTTTGTGAGGGTAACGTCATCAATTTATGAGAAAACGACGTAGTTTTCTCACGTAACAATCAATACCTGTTCACAAGAGAAGATAACTCTGCAATACCCAAAGACGGAATTCATGCTGGAATAAATAGTTTCCAATACTTTATTACAGTTTTTGGCAGTGGTACCACACCGGGATACTAATACTAAAGTCTGAAGTGAAGATTGCACACAGTTCTCTTAAACATTTGTTACTTGTCTCATTTCAGATGACGGAGATTTCTATGGAAGTAGAGAAACTGACAAAAGCCATGGAAACACTGGGAAAACTTTAAGCAACTTTAACATCTATTTAAGCAATTATTTTTTAATTCAAAAATTTATTAAAATCAGGTGATTAGGTATTTTATAGAGACTGTTAATGTTGAAGGGCACAATAATAAATCCCATATTTGTAATAAACTTTATGGAAAATGTATGCATTGACTACATTTTATAAGGATGTCACATCGGAATAGTGCAGTAACAGCTGTTTGCGGAAAGAATTTTACGGGATTCCTTGTACAAAAATGGAAAAGTGTCTGAAAATTCATAATGAACTATTCCAACCTTTGAATTGGGAGAGTTCAAATTCGTCTTCAGGGGTGAATGAGTTAATGCGATGAGAACTAGTGATACGGTATACCAAGACATTTTTTCGCTGCAGCTTGACTTTTGCCATTTAATTGCCTTCCACAATAAAGGTGAATTTACGATGAATTGTCTTTTAAAATCTAAAGTTACGATGACGATTTTCAACCACAGTGGTAAATTATACCTTTAAAGGATCAACAGAAAGTTTTCATCAGGAAAATCGGAAAATACCACCTGAGGGTTGTGCTTGGTTCCTGTGTATGGGTTACACCATGAGGAATTCATGGTAACATGTTATTTATTTATTGAACCATAATTCATTGCAGTATTTAAAGAATTTAAAGCATTTCTGGTCTTCATACAGCTTGCTTCTCACCCAATATGGCGTATGATCATGTACAATGCCTTTTATTGTGCTGTTAGTGACAGAATTCTAATTAATCCTTTCAAGCACTAATGTTTGGGGAAGACCAAAATACTTAATATTTGAGGCCATAAAAATTTAGCCGATCATTATGCGTTTTGGATTCGATACATGATTTTGTACTAACTTTACTTGCAGCCATGTTTGTGTCTTCAGAGAAGTGCTAAGTAGTGGTATTTAATGGCAGACCCAGAGACTGATTATGGTGGTGGGGGTAGAAGGGTTCCAAATGTACCAAACAGCAGGGGGGAATCTGAGAGTAAAATGAGAAAAATCCTAAATCTTAAATAAAAATGGCTGGATCAGCCACACAGGTATTATGGTCAAATTAGTGGGAAGCCATGGTCTGAGGTCGGTATCTACATGTTAGTGCTTATAACTGTTTTAGTATTGATAATGTTTCTTTCCTGAACTGTGAGATATGACACACTTAACACTAGTCAGTAAACAAAAGTCTGATTTAACACTGATTCACGATGAAATTCTCTACTAACACAAAGTTATACAATCAGGTCCATTTTATGTAATAAAATCACAAATGTAAATATTCAACGACTGTAGACACTGTATACACAGGTGTCTTTTTCCATAATCCTATTCTAATTTAGTTAGAAAAAAAAAAGAAAAAAAATGAATAAAAAAAAGCAATTAAGGTTTTCCCTGCCTGAGTTTGTTTAAGCCAACTTGAGACTGGTACTGTAAACATAAAACAATTTTACACTTCTCTGTCAATATCTATCTTATTACTGGAGCCAATAAGGTCTCTCACCTGGAACATCCCTTGTACTTCTTCAATGTTGATTGTAAGTTTATACAGCTTAAGTCTGCCAGCAATCTTAATTTGGAATCAACTTGGCATACATGAACATTACAGATATACATGTACAAGACTTACAGATGTGTGGGGGCTATAGAAATCATACTAATTGTTGTTATTATTGTCCATTATGTAAAGTTCTACAGAAGAATTATTCTTTCAAAGCGTTTTGTTAATTTTAAAGTGAACTGCAAAGTACATGTAATCTCCATGAATAAAAATGGTTTGCTGAATCATGTGAGTATGCAATAAAATAATGAACTTGTACAAATATTTATTTGTAAAGTCTTTTGTAAGTGTCAACACAGACAAACATACCACATCATCAACACTTTCATAAAACTTTCTTAACCAAGAGGGAACTGTGGGGTCAAATCGATTACAAGAGGGAACTGTGGGGTCAAAGCAGTTACAAGAGGGAATTGTAGGGTCAAATCAGTTACAAGAGGGAACTGTGGGGTCAAATCAGTTACAAGAGAGAACTGTGGGGTCAAAACAGTTACAAGAGGGAACTGTAGGCTCAAATCAGTGACAAGAGGGAACTGTGGGGTCAAATCAGTTACAAGAAAGAACTTTAGGGTAAAATCAGTTACAAGAGGGTACTGTGGGGTAAATTCAGTCACAAGAGGGAAATATTGAGTCAAAACAGTAACAAGAGGGAAATGTAGGGTCATAACAGTTATAAGAGGGAAATGTAGGCTCAAATCAGCTACAAGAAGGAACTATAGGGTTAAATAAATTACAAGAGGGAAATGTAGGGGAAAATCAGTTACAAGAGGGAAATGTAGGGTCAAATCAGTGATTAAAGGTAACTGTGGGGTCAAATCAGTTACAAGAGGGAAATGTAGAGTCAAAAACAGTAACAAGAGGGAAATGAAGGGTCATTACAGGTACAAGAGTTAACGGAAGGATCAAATCAGTTACAAATGGGAACTAGAGTCAAATCAGTGACTGTAGGTTCAAATCAGCTACAAGAAGGAACTGTAAGGTAAAATAAATTACAAGAGGGAAATGTAGGGTTAAATCAGTTACAAGAGAGAACTGTAAGCTCAAATCAATTACACAAGGGAACCGTTGGGAAAAATCAGTTGCAAGAGGGAACTGTAGGGTAAAATAAGTTACAAGAGGGAAATGTAGGGTTAAATCAGTTACAAGAGAGAACTGTAAGCTCAAATTAGTTACAAGAGGGAACTGTAGGATCAAATCAGTGACTAGAGGGAACTGTAGGATCAAATCAGATACAAGAGTTAAGTTTGAGATCAAATCGGTTACAATAGGGTACTGTAGGCTCAAATCAGCTACAAGAAGGAACTGTAAGGTAAAATAAATTACAAGAGTTAACGAAAGAGTCAAATCAGTTACCAGAGGGAGCTGTAGGGTCATATCAGTTACAAGAGGGAGCTGTAGGGTCAAATCAGTTACGAAAGGGAACTGTTGGGTAAAAGCAGTTGCAAGAGGGAACTGTAGGGTCAAATCAGTTACAGGAGGGAACTGTGGGATAAAATCAGTTACTATAGGGAACTGTAAGCTCAAATCAATTACACAAGGGAACCGTTGGGAAAAATCAGTTGCAAGAGGGGAAATGTAGGGTCAAATCAGTTACGAAAGGGAACTGTTGGGTAAAATCAGTTGCAAGAGGGAACTGTAGGGTAAAATCAGTTACAAGAGGAAAATGTAGGGTCAAATCAGTTACGAAAGGGAACTGTTGGGTAAAATCAGTTGCAAGAGGGAACTGTAGGGTAAAATCAGTGATTAGAGGGAACTGTGGGGTCAAATCATTTACAATAGGGAAATGTTTGGTAAAATCAGTGATTAGAGGGAACTGTGGGGTCAGATCAGTTACAAGAGGGAGCTGTAGGGTCAAATCAGTGACTAGAGGGAACTGTAGGGTAAAATCAGTGATTAGAGGGAACTGTGGGGTCAGATCAGTTACAAGAGGGAACTGTAGTGAGTCAAAACAGTAACAAGAGTGAAATGAAGGGTCATTACTGGTACAAGAGTTAACGAAAGGGTCAAATAAGTTACAAAAGGGAACTGTTGGGTAAAAGCAGTTGCAAGAGGGAACTGTAGGCCACAAATCAGCTACAAGAATGAACTGTAAGGTAAAATAAATTACAATAGGGAAATGTTTGGTAAAATCAGTGATTAGAGGGAACTGTGGGGTCAAATCAGTTACAATAGAGAACTGTAAGCTCAAATTAGTTACAATAGGGAACTGTAGAAATCAGTTACAATAGGGAACTCTAGGGCCAAATCAGTTACAAGAGGTAACTGAAGGCTCAAATCAGTTACAAGACGGAACTGTAGGGTCAAATCAGTGACAAGAGGGAAATGTAGAGTCAAAAACAGTAACAAGAGGGAAATGTAGGATCATTACAGGTACAAGAGTTAACGGAAGGATCAAATCAGTTACAGATGGGAACTAGAGTCAAATCAGGGACTGTAGGTTCAAATCAGCTACAAGAAGGAACTGTAAGGTAAAATAAATTACAAGAGTTAACGAAAGAGTCAAATCAGTTACAAATGGGAACTAGAGTCGAATCAGTGACTGTAGGCTCAAAACAGTTACAAGAGAGAACTGTAAGCTCAAATCAATTACACAAGGGAACCGTTGGGAAAAATCAGTTGCAAGAGGGAACTGTAGGCGTCAAATCAGCTACAAGAGGCAACTGTGGTATCAAATAAGTTACAATAGGGTACTTTATTCTCAAATCAGTTACAATAGGGAACTCTAGGGCCAAATCAGTTACAAGAGGGAACTGTAGGCCTCAAATCAGCTACAAGAAGGAACTATAGGGTAAAATAAATTACAAGAGTTAACGAAAGGGTCAAATCAGTTACAAAAGGGAACTGTTGGGTAAAAGCAGTTGCAAGAGGGAACTGTAGGCTCAAATCAGCTACAAAAAGGAACTGTAGGGTAAAATAAGTTACAAGAGGGAAATGTAGGGTCAAATCAGTTACAAGAGGAAAATGTAGGGTCAAATCAGTTACAAGAGGGAAATGTAGGGTCAAAACAGTAACAAGAGGGAAATGAAGGGTCATTACTGGTACAAGAGTTAACGAAAGGGTCAAATCAGTTACAAATGGGAACTAGAGTCAAATCAGTGAATGTAGGCTCAAATCAGTTACAAGAGAGAACTGTAAGCTCAAATCAATTACAAAAGGGAACTGTTGGGAAAAATCAGTTGCAAGAGGGGAAATGTAGGGTCAAATCAGTTACAGGAGGTAACTGAAGGGTCAAATCAGTTACAAGACGGAACTGTAGGGTCAATTCAGTGACTAGAGGGAACTGTAGGGTCAAATCAGTGACTAGAGGGAACTGTAAGGTTAAATCAATTACAAAAGGGAACTAGAGTCAAATCAGTGAATGTAGGGTCAAATCAGTTACAAGAAGGAACTAGGCTCAAATCAGTTACAAGAGGGAGCTGTAGGGTCAAATCAGTTACAAGAGAGAGTTGTTGGGTCAAATCAGTTACAGGAGGGAACTGTGGGATCAAATCAGTTACAATAGGGAACTGTAAGCTCAAATTAGTTACAAGAGGGAACTGTAGGGTCAAATCAGTTACAAGAGGGAAGTGTAGGGTCAAATCAGTTACAAGAGGTAACTGAAGGCTCAAATCAGTTACAAGAGGGAACTGTAGGATCAAATCAGATACAAGAGGGAACTGTGGAATCAAATCAGTTACAATAGGGTACTGTAGGCTCAAATCAGTTACAATAGGGAACTCTAGGGTCAAATCAGTTACAATAGGGAACTGTAGGCTCAAATCAGTTACAATAGGGAACTGTAGGCTCAAATCAGCTACAAGAGGAAACTGTGGGATCAAATAAGTTACAATAGGGTACTGTATGCTCAAATCAGTTACAATAGGGAACTGTAGGGTCAAATCAGTTACAATAGGGAACTGTAGGCTCAAATTAGTTACAAGAGGGAACTGTAGGCTCAAATCAGTTACAAGAGGGACTGTGGGATCAAATCAGTTACAAGAAAGAACTTTAGGGTAAAATCAGTTACAAGAGGGTACTATGGGGTAAATTCAGTCACAAGAGGGAAATATTGAGTCAAAACAGTAACAAGAGGGAAATGTAGGGTCATAACAGTTATAAGAGGGAACTGTAGGCCTCAAATCAGCTACAAGAAGGAACTATAGGGTTAAATAAATTACAAGAGGGAAATGTAGGGTAAAATCAGTTACAAGAGGGAAATGTAGGGTCAAATCAGTGATTAGAGGTAACTGTGGGGTCAAATCAGTTACAAGAGGGAAATGTAGAGTCAAAAACAGTAACAAGAGGGAAATGAAGGGTCATTACAGGTACAAGAGTTAACGGAAGGATCAAATCAGTTACAAATGGGAACTAGAGTCAAATCAGTGACTGTAGGCTCAAATCAGCTACAAGAAGGAACTGTAAGGTAAAATAAATTACAAGAGGGAAATGTAGGGTAAAATCAGTGATTAGAGGGAACTGTGGGGTCAAATCAGTTACAAGAGGGAAATGTAGGGTCAAAACAGTAACAAGAGGGAAATGAAGGGTCATTACAGGTACAAGAGTTAACGAAAGGGTCAAATCAGTTACAAAAGGGAACTGTTGGGTAAAAGCAGTTGCAAGAGGGAACTGTAGGCTCAAATCAGCTACAAAAAGGAACTGTAGGGTAAAATCAGTTACAAGAGGGAAATGTAGGGTCAAATCAGTTACAAGAGGGAACTGTAGGCTCAAATTAGTTACAAGAGGGAACTGTAGGCTCAAATCAGTTACAAGAGGGACTGTGGGATCAAATCAGTTACAAAAGGGAACTGTAGGCTCAAATCGATTTCAATAGGGAACTGTAGGGTCAAATCAGTTACAAGCGGGAACTGTAGGCTCGAATCAGTTTCAAGAGGGAACTAGGCTCGAATCAGTTACAAGAGGGAAATGTAGGCTCGAATCAGTTACAAGAGGGAACTGTAGGGTCAAATCAGTGACTAGAGGGAACTGTGGGGTTAAATCAGTTGCAAGATAGAGAAATGTAGGGTCAAATCAGTTACAAGAGGGATTTGTTGGGTCAGATCAGTTATAAGAGGGAACTGTGTATTACATGTGGCCCTGATCCAGAAATTATTGGAACAATCTGCTGACTATTCGTTTAAAGTTGCTATATTTATGCAACACTGTAAACAGGTTTAGCTGTCCAATGCTGTTTGTTTGTCTTGTATCATTCTACACGTGAACTATGGCTGATTAGGAATTTCAGACCAGAGACCCATTGGTTTATATTGTTACATTGTC